ACCCGGTGTCAGGACAGAGCAAACAAGCTACATGTACACTGAAGTGAGTCACCTGACCGCAGGGGGTGATCACTCAACTCGTAAAGTTTTTCAAAACGTAGGACCACCACTAAGCTGTCTCCATTAGCCTCATCAAGTGCTAACATTTTTTTCTATCGGTGACAGCCTCCCGCTGTCTAAAACGCGACGCTCACACAGCGATGGCATCGGGCCTCGCGGTCGCTTAGGCGCGTCATGGTTGCATCTCAGGGGTTCACCCTCTCTATGCTGACGGTGAGCTGGATTTTGTCCAAAAGTTTTTCCCGGAGGCCTGCACGCTGCTTTCACACCAAAACCGGTCGAGGCATCTACAGCCAAACAGTGGCCTCTCTCTATGTTAGAAAAAAAGCCCAGCATTGTTAATGCTGTTATTGTGCTTTTTTAGCTCAAGACAACGACCTTGGACGAGCTCGCTAACCACTCGCTGACTACGCTGGCACAGCGCATGTTTTCATTAACTCGGGCCTTCTAGCAGCCCTGATGACCATCTGAGGCGGGTGCGTGGCGAACATCAACAGACCGCAGTCAGCACTAGCGACCAATCGGACGGGCAAGGCAGCATGGCTTATAAACAGAAGCCTCATAAGACGACTACCGTAGAATAACATTACCGGCAAAGGCAAGGGGAACTGGAATGACCATTTCCAGCCAGCCACACCCACCCCCGAATTGTGAAACACCTGGGGCTCGATCCCGCGATCTGTTGGTTAGAGGTCCAACGGCTCTAACCACTGAGTTGCGGGCTTGTTGTACTGGATCTGCTAATCCTCAAGGCCGGGGATACGAACTTGCTCTTTTGCGACGACGGACGTCTAATCAAACCTAGGCAAGACTGAGGCATGACCATTCCCTACCTCCCGCCCCCGAAACCAATACTGACATGGTTGCTTCTTCCTTTTGAATTGTGGGGGACGTATGCACTTGGCTGTCGTCCTCAGAAATGGTAATTTCGATAGCACGTTCTGAATATTCATCCCCTTTGACTATAATGATTCAACTGATGGCAACTAGCAGTTTCTAGTAGCTCAAGTCAGGGTAAAGTAATTCCCAAATTTTTAAACATCCCATCTGGCCAATGAGATGTGATTTGGCACGACTGAACAATAATCATTCCTTCGCCTCTGAAACCCATGATTACATGGTTGCTACTTACTTTCGTTTGGTAGACAACTACATTCGGCTAACGACTTCGTAAACAATACGTTAGGCGGTATGTTCATCACATTAATTTCCTTTAGCGACAAGGGTTCAGATAACGGTTAACTATCTACTCCGATAATGATACATTTGGACGTATGTTTACGCTACTTACTTTCTTAGTGGAAATTAATTAAGGTGTGATTTTTACCGAGTGCGATATTTGCGGAAAGTCGAAGAGAAGTGTATTCAAAAGCCAATATCCCGGGGAGTCCGAAACATAACAGGATAAAGTGGCATGATAAACAATATAACAAACCCACCTAAGTAATCCTTCCTAATCAAGACGCACATCATAATTTTGGCCAACATTTCATGAGATCGGTCACTCACTGTACCTAGCTGCCGCAGTAACAGAGGACGTGGCGACTTTATGGGACACGATAATGATGGATTAATTCTATTGGGTAGTAAAATATTTAGTCCTAATGGCGTATGTTCATTGGGACGATGTTCAGTACTCAAACGACTCAGGATTTAGTAGGAAAAGAATAGTTTAATAATGTGTGCGTAGATGTGGAATGATATTATTTGGGATTGCTTCTGCTGGTGCCGTTCGTGCAAACATGAACAACACTCAACAATGCGACTGGACTGGTGTTGGGGTTTGCCGCGTTCAAGGGATGCAGTGCGGTCTGTTGGTTGATTTCAGCAAGACTGCTTACATTACAACCTAACCTTAACCTACTTCAATGCGTCTTCCTTCTTCTCCTTAATTGTTGTTTATCATCCTATTTTTATTTCTGTCAAATTCTGCCTCCTTCGAATGCGAGTATATCAAACTACACGTCAATGTTGATTGTCACCCTATCCATCCCCACCCGCCCCCCCTCCAGCCACTCAGGCAACACTAGAAGGCTCCCCTCCCACCATCTGCCTCGAACGAACTTGATGCTCAGGCCATATGGCTCTTCCATTCTCCACTCTACCATAATGAGTCAGTCGGAGGGTCACCTAGACGCGTTGCCAAGTAAACAGTCTGACGCATATTTTCCTGCTCTCCAGAACTGTCATTTTCTCCGTCACCGCTGTCACACTCGCGTGGCACACCTAACTCTCAACACGCACGATCAGGTGCTAAAGCACATGCTCTAGTCAGGAGTGGTAGTCGAGTGCCTTGTCCACTTCTACTGGAAGTAGAAGTGGATGGAGATGGGAAAATGAAGTGAGGACGAAGGGCGTGTAACTTCGCAAAATTTCTTAAAGAGTTGACACAGCACAGCACAACACACAATCACTTAACTATGGTTGAGAGGGTGTTCACCGATCTGGTTACCGGACATGCTCACCCTGTTACGACTTGGGACAATGAAACGGGGAATGAACACCCCGAGATGACTGTTTAGGCCGCATTTGTACCCGCACAAACATGAGACCTAGTCCCTGGAAAAAATGAACTTGCAAAACGGAAGTCGGCAATGAACACACCCTAGGTCAATTTAAAAACTTCTCCAACTAAGTAACTTATTCAAAAAACGCCATAATAAAGTATTTCACTGACGGACGTCTGCATACTTGACATTTATGAAAGGGAGAGTTATAAACCATAATTGGAACATTTCGTCGGCTTTTTAATTTCCCTGGAAAAATGGAATAACTATTCCGTTGGAAACGAAAGAACGCACTTTTCTCTTCAAAATTGAACAACTT